ACATCTTGTAAGGATAAAAGATTGATGCTAAGTAAAGAGAAAGAACAAAGTGTTTCTAGCCCAACGGTATCAGGTGTTGTCCTTTCTTCTTGAAGTTGAGGGACGAGACATATGTAGATTTAATGAGCATTTATATGAATAGATTAGGGTTGTGGTTTTTAAAAAGAGTAAAAAGAAGGAAATTGGTAAAGAAAACATAATCCATTTAAAAACTCGAAAACTTGCCATACTTACTAGGACGACATATAGAAATCAAACATAAATTTCAGTGTTTTCTTACATCTCAGGAATATGACGTGGACATTTGGATCTTGATACTTTAGGTGATTTTATTTCAAAATTTTGGATATTGTTCTCAAATAAAATTGTGAAATCGGTGATTTTGTTTAAAATGGGCTAAATCGATTTTGATGAAATTGTTCCTCATTTAATCTTTGCGATGGTTTGAAGTAGGGATGAAAATTTGGCCCTAAAACCCGAACTAAACCAAACCAAACCGAATTAGAACCAAATAAACAATTCCATTCAAGTTTCGAGTATACATATTATGCTTATTTGGTTATCGGGTTATTCGGTTCTATATACCCGACCCGATTAAGCATTTATCGTCCCCCTTTTCTTATCGATAGAAATCAAAATCACAATTCACACTTCTGTCTTCGTCTTTCATAAAACTTACACTCGTTGTCGTTGTTTCAAAATTAACCAATCTTCTCAACTATCTACAAACTCGAAATCACTTATGTCGATCATTCTTTTGTTTTCAGACTTTTTAAAAATCGACCCTTTCAATTGTCTATAAGGATTCACAAAGTCCTACTTTATCTAGTCATGAAAAATTAGGTGCCAACTCAAGAAACTCAAGTAAGAAATTAATTTTCATTATGTTAATCTATTATGTAAATGTTATTCTTTTAATATGTTATTGTGTTATGTTAGTCTTTGAATGTTTTATATTGGTGCATAAAACTACATTGTTATTCTAGTATTCGGGTTAGAGAGTCTTAATACAGTTTATTTGATATTTTCGGTTATATTAGGTCCTTAATCAGATTATACATGTTATTCGTGTAATAATCGAACCGAACTGATTAATACCCGAACCGAGCAGAACCCGTATTGGTTAATCAGTTCGGTTTCCGGGTCATGAAATTACCATTATTTGGTTATTCGGTGGTGGCAAAAGAAGAATGATAAGAGAAGGAGAGAGATGGAGTTGCCTGTCCTTGGTGGTGGCCTTTTTCTATTTTTGGAAAGTAGCTGCGAAATTAATCGTTATTAATGGAACATGCTATTTTTTTTTTTGAGAAAATTTGGAGAATAACCAAAAAATGAGATTAGTTTGAAGAAAATAACCAAGGAAAATCAAATTTTGGAAAATGACCACAGGATCCGCAGAGCACCCTCTTCGAAACCATTAAATGCTTTGCGGATTCTCTACAGCTTTGAGGAATTGCTGTTTTTTGATTTTTTTGATTTTTTTTTTCGTTTTTTTGTTTTTCTTTTGCGTTTATTTTTGTTTATTAATATTAATATTTTTTAAATACACTACTACCTTATGTGATTATGTAAATAATTTGACAAAAAAAGTTAAAAATAATGAACTTATGTTTGATATCAGTCCACAGAACTCTTTGGAAATTCACCCTCTGCAGATCCATTAAAGCATCTACGGATCCAGCTACAACTCTGCGGAATGTTGGTTTTTTAATTTTTTTTAAAATGTTTTTTATTATTTTTTTTTGCGTTCACTTTAGTTTATTAATATATATATATATATATATATATATATTAAAATACACGTATACCTTATGTGATTATTGTGTAAAAAGTTTGACAAAAAAAAGGTTAAAAAATAATGAAATGTTTTATGTAATACGTTTGCTACTGATGTATATTTTTCATGTATTTATACTGTTTTGTATTCTATGTTCTATGAAATAATGTAAAAGTTAACTCAACTAGTTTTGTAAATAACCTAATACAAACCAAATACATATAAATAACGTAATACAAACTGGTGCATATAAATAACCTAATTAAATCAGTAGATATTTGAGGCGTATAGCAGCCAGGATGGTTGATGAACCACATTAGAAGGATATTGATCAGGTTTGTGTGTGTGTGTGTGTGTATATATATATATATATATATATATATATATATATATATATATATATAAGAATCAGTGTACACCTCTGCGGAGCAGTACATACCTCTAAGGATCAGTGTATAGCTCTGCGGATCTGTACACATCTCTAAGGGTCAGTGTACACCTCTATGGATAAGTGTACACCTTTAAGGATCAGTGCACACCTCTAAGGATCGGTGTACACCTCTGCGGATCAGTTATAGAAGTTATAGACATATTTAAGTGGTTATTTGTGAGTTTGTGAGCTTCAATTACTAGTAGAAGTTGTTTTTTCGTTGTGTTTATAGAGAGTGATTTGTAAATTGAGTTATATTATTTTGTGTACGGGAGGGTCGTGGCAGTTAGTTAATGGATTTGAGCTTTACGTTAGAAATAATGTGAAAAACTATGGTTTAAATCTTCCTCCTAAAATTTACCATGAAATGTTATTACGAATGGTTAGAAGCAAGGTGGGTGTGTTAAATAGTCATATATGTTTGTCTTTTAAACACCCGGAGTTAGGGTATGTCATGGAGCTTGGAGATGAAACTGATGTATTTCAATTGAGACATGTGATGTCTGAATCAAAGAAGATGGTGCATTTGTATTTAACGGTAGTAGGTGAATAAGATGAAGAACAAGCAGTGGTTAACAACTAGTTTAATCCAACAAAAACTAATAGAGGTCGTAGAGAAAGCCAATGTGATGGAAACCGTTCAAGGGGAAGAGGAAATGACACTTTTTTTCAGATAATGATAAAGAACCAAAAGTGGGCATGACTGAATTACAACGTGAAAATTTGTTCGAGTTTGGAGAAGTTCCTCAAATTGATGATCGAAGATGTGAGGAAAAATCAAAAGGGTGGTCAGATGATGAATACACGCAACGAAAAACTGCTTTTAATCCAAGTTATTGTATTCCTTCTATTCTTGATTGTCCATAACCTATTCTTGAACTTAGACCATTTCACAATTTAGGTCCGAATGATAAATTAATTGTCAATGAAACCTATAACACCAAAAAAGAGTTAGCATTTGCTGTTAAATTCAAAGCTGTTAGAGAAAAGTTTCAGATAAAGGTTGAAAATTCTTCAAAATCTCGGTACCAGGTTGTTTGTATCATTGTATGCAAGAAAACTGTCATTGGCGTTTATACGCATGTATCATTAAAGGAACGGAAACGTTTGAAATTAAGACGTTTAATGACTAGCATACATGTTCTTCATTGCTTATACACCCAAATCATAGGCAAGCAAATAGCGAAGTTGTGGGAACCATAATACATAACGTTATGGGTCAAGGAAGTTTGAGAGTTTGGAAGCATAATGATATAATTAGAGATATGAATGCTTTTCTACAAATAAATATGAGTTATTCACAAGCGTGCCATGCTAGAGAATTTTCTTTGGGATTGATGATGGGGACCCCGAAGAAAGTTTCTCCAAACTCACAATCTGAAGAAATGTAATCCTGGTACTGTAACGTACATAAAAACTGATTCAGATGATCGTTTTGAGTATATCATTTTCTCTATTGGATGCACGGTAATATATTTTTAAATATATTTTTTATTATCTTAAATGTTTATAAACAATTTATATTGTTGATATATTAATGGTTTTTATATTGTTGTTGCAGATACGTGCTTTCAGAGAGTGTTGTAGAAAAATTATTATTATGGATGATGCTCATTTGAAAGGAAAGTACAAAGGCACCATCTTGCATACAGTAGCCATGGATGACAACAATCAAATCTTGCCTATTGGGTATGGAATTTGCCCAAAAGAGACTACAGATTCTTGGACATGGTTTCTTGAAAAACTACATGATTGCATTGGTGATGTGGAAGGTCTGACAATGGTCACAGATAGAGCACCCGCAATTGCTGTAAGTATTAAAACTGTTTTTCCAAATGCTCAACATGGATTGTGCGGTTTTCATCTAATAGGAAACATAGTCCACACCTTTGGAAAAAAAAAAAAAAAACATCAATTTTGTTTTGGAAGTTGGTAAGAGCTTACAAAACCACTGAGTTTGAATAATATTGTGGGAGACTTCGTAATATAAGAGATGATGTAGCGACATATCTCAGTCAAATTCCAAGTGAGAAATGGACCAGAGCGTATTGCCCTACCACGAGGTATGATTATATGACCTCAAATAGTGCGGAGTTCATGAATGTTGTATCAAACAAAGCAAGGAAGTTGCCTATATTACTACTTCTTGTGTTCTTTCGCACACTTATGCAGAAATGGTTTTACAAACGACGGATGACTGTAGGTATGATTATGTTTAATTTTAAATTATATGATAAATGTCATATATAATAATATATGTTTGTTTTAACTATAAAAAAAGTACAACAATACTAACGAAGTGCGTTAAAGATATGGTTAAAAAAATTAAAGAGGGGATTCAAGGATGGCCGGTATCCGGTGTTAACAATACAACATATCAAGTGCATGATTTCAAAAGCGGCATCATAGTGAATTTGAGGGAAAAGACTTGTTCTTGTAGATATTGGCAACTAACTGGTTTGTCATGTGGTCATGTGATAATGGTTTTAACGGACTTGAAAAATGATCATTGTGGGCATATGGTTATAAATGCTTATAAAATTGAAACATATTGAAGAACGTACGAGCAGGCCGTATACCCTCTTTCAGAACTTAGTGATTGGGAGGTTCCGGATGACCTTATGGTTGTTAACCCTCCTGTGATGGAAATACATCAATCCAGTAGACCAAAAAATACCAATCGTATTCCATCTCAAGGTGAGGAACCAAAAATAAGAAGGTGTACTAGATCCCATAACACAACTCATAATGCAAGGACGTGTAAGGAAATCATTCCAAAGAACCAAAGTAAAACTAAAAAATGTACCGGGGTTTCAGGGAGTGGGACAAAAGCGACAGAAGAGGAATCGACGCAAGCGACCGAAAACCAATGGCAACATGAGCCAGAGAACCAATGGACGCAACACATCGAACAACAATGGTAGCAGCAACCAGACAACCAATGGACACAACAGACCGAACATCAATGACAACAACATCCAGACAACCAATGGACACAATAGACCGAACATCAATGGCAACAGGAGCCACATAGCCAATGAGCGCAAGAGACCGAATACCAACCGCAGGAAGAGACACAGAACCAATGGCAGGGTTGCACCGAGTAACAATGGCAACAAGAGCTAGATAACCAATGGACGCAAGAGACAATAAACCTAGGGACACAAGCACCAGATAATCCATTGACGGAATGCGAAAACATATCAAAGTTTCTGTGATTCGATTTGAATGAATGAAGTTTATTTCAAAGTATGTTTATTATGAAGGTTGTATGTTTATGTTTTTTAACCTATAAAAAACATGGAATATTTATATAATTTTAATTAGGTTATTTATATGCACCGGTTTGTATTACGTTATTTATAAGTACAAATACATGAAAACATACATAAGTAGCAAACGTATTACATAAAACATTTCATTATTTTTAACATTTTTTTCTCAAATTTTTTATATAATAATCACATAAGGTATAAGTGTATTTAAAAAAATATTAATAAACAAAAATGAACGCAAAAAAAAAAAAAAAAAAAAACAATTAAAAAAATTAAAAGACCAACATTCCGCAAAGTTATAGTTGAATCCGCAGAGGCTTTAATGGATCCGCAGATGGTGGATTCCCAAAGAGTTCTGTGGACTGATATCAAACATAAGTTCATTATTAATATTTTTTTGTCAAATTATTTACATAATCACATAAGATACTAGTGTATTTAAAAAATTAATATTAATAAACAAAAATGAACGCAAAAAAATGAAAAAACCAAAAAAAAAACAAAAAACAGCAATTCCGCAGAGCTGTAGAGTATCCGCAGAGCGTTGAATGGTTCCGCAGAGGGTGCTCTGCGGATCCTGTGATCTTTTTCCAAAATTTGATTTCCCTTGGTTATTTTCTTCAAATCAATCTCATTTTTTGGTTATTGTATAAATATCTTTTTTTTTTTTTTTTTTTTTTTTTCTATTTGCAAGAAAATAAAAAAAAATAAAAAAAAAAAAAAAAAAAAACTAAACTAAAATAAACTAAACTTAATAAGCATTACTTGTTTTGTCGTTCGCATTTTCTATAATCAATAACCAATTATAATATGTTAATAAAGTTAAAAGTGCATGATGACATTTGTGACAAATGAATGTGATAGAATTATGAATGGGTGTTAATTAATTTAAGAACCATATGGATTTATATAAAAGTTATACTTTTTATATAGTCTATTTTTGCATCCGCCAGCCAGACAGACCAAGTTTACAAATGTCCTCATAGGCATCAAGAGTACTATAAAAGAACACCATCACATCAACCAATTCAAAAATACAACCACAATGGCATTTTCTTAAACACTTACACTCTCTTCATCTTTTCTCTTCTAAGCTTCTGTTACGCCGCTTCAGGTCCTCCCATACTGCCAAAACCAAAAGTAATGCACTTTTCGATTAGAAAAAACGAAACAACTCTCCAGTACTACGTCTCATATGATTCTAGATACCCTGATTCACCTACCATAATCGATGCATTGATTGATCTTGGAGCACCATCTGTTTGGTTTGACTGTACAAGCTATGTCTCGTCTTCATATAAGTGAGCATCATGTGGTTCAAACAGATGTAAGAAGGCCAAGGGGCTATCATGTATAGTCTTGAATCGGTTTGGAAATGAGAATAAATTACGATAGATTTTATCACCAAATTGCCTCAGACGACACGCAAAGTAGATTCGATATGGGTCATCATTAGGGGTGTAAGTGAGCCGAGCTACTCGTGAGCTACTCGGGATCGACTCGTTAAAAGCTCGACTCGAGATCGAATTAAACGAGCCCGAGCCGAGCTCGAGCCTAAATATGAGGCTCGTTTATTAAATGAGCTCGAGCCGAGCTTCAATTAATGGGCTCGCGAGCCTAAACGAGCTTAAACGAGCCTATATATATATATATATATATATATATATATATATATATATATATATATATATATGTATATATATATACACACACACACATACATACATACATACATACACACACACACACACACATATATATATATACACACACACATAGAGGCTCGATTAGGCTCGATTAGGCTCGCGAGCCCACTAAATTATTCATGAGCCGAGCTCGAGCTTCATTTTAAGGCTCGAATCGAGCTCGAGCTTCCTTAAATTAAACGAGCCGAGCTCGAGCTTTGTCAGGCTCGGGCTCGGCTCGGCTCGTTTACACCCCTAGTCATCATGGATCGATTGACCAAGAGCGCATATGTTATTCTGATCCAGTAAAGTATCTTTGCGGAGAAGTTGACAGACATCTACATTCGGGAGGTTGTAGCATGTCATGGAGTCCCGGTTTCTGTGGTCTCCCATAGGGATGTTCGGTTCACTTCCAACTTTTGGAAGAGATTTCACGAGGAGTTGGATAATCATTTGCACTTCAACATAACTTTTCACCCGCAGATTGATAGTCATAGTGAGCGGACTATTCAGACCTTGGAGGATATTCTTTGGGCTTGTGTTTTGAATTTCGGTGGATGTTGGGATACGTACCTCCCTTTGGTGGAGTTTTCATATAACAATAGTTAGCACGCCAGGATTGATCGACCTCCTTTTGAGATACTCCACAAAAGGAAGTGTAGGACCCCGATATGTTGGGGTGATTTGGTCAGCGAGTCATGGGGAGTATCGAGGTGATACTCAAGATAACCGAGATGATTCAGCCGGTTCGCGGTAGACTTTAGACAACACAAAGTCGGAAAAAGAGCTATACATACAGATGACAGATAGACTTGGAGTTCCAAGTCGGGGATATAGTAATACTGAAGGTGTCGCCTTGGAAATGTGTCATCTGGTTCAGGAAGCGGGGTAAGCTAGGCCCCCGGTATATTGGTCCTTTTAGGGTTGAAGCCTAGGTGGGAAGGATATCGTATCATTAGAATCTTCCGGAGGAACTCAGTCAGATTAACACTATATTTCACGTCTCTCGGCTGCAAAAGTGTTTGGTCGATGATTCCATAATGGTTACATTGGAGGATATTCAAGTGGATGATCGTCTGAACTACATTGAGAGACATGTATTGATCCTTTACTAGAAGACGAAAACCTTGAGGTACAAGGTTGTGGGATTGGTGAAGGTGTAGTGGTAGCATCAGAAAGGTTTGGAGTGGACTCTTGGGTGCCTGAGGAAGAAATGATGGAGTATTATCCAGAGTTATTTTTGGCAGCGAAGTATGAGGACAAAGTCTAAATCAAGTGGGGGAGATCTGTAACACCTGATTTGTCAGGTAAATCCCTTATCCATTACTTTCTTACATTTGGACCCTTGGGCCCGAGTACGTTGGGTGTACACATTGGTACACCGGGCATACTCTAGTGGCTGATTTGCGGGAAGCCCCCTATGTATGTTGGGCGTACCCATGCGTATGCGAGCCAGGGGCAACCCTAATTTTTAGGGGTTTCACCCTATTTAAGCAAATTAAGCTCTCCTAACCTTTCACCATACTAGCCTCCATTGTCTCTTTAACCCTATCTTGAAACCCTAATCCAGTTTCCAAAGAGATTGAGCTTGTGTGTGTGTGTGTGTGGTGCTTAGTGAAAAAGAAGAAGACTTATGGAGAAGTTTTGGACAAGAGGAAGCTTGTAGATCTAGAGTTTATTCACCATTTCAAGCTTGTTAGAGGTAAAAAGCTCCTACCTTGATGACTCCTTGTGTTAGTTTTAGTTTAAGGCTTATGTTCTTAATATTATGGTCCTTAAGGTGGTTCTTGAGAGTATAAGCTACTCCAAAAGAAAATAATGTTAGATCCTAGTGTCTCTGATGTCCAATGAGCATAAAAATGGAGTCTTGATGGTTTAAGTTCCACCATGCAAGGGTTTGAAGGCGATTTCATGAAGATAGTGTAGTAAAGTCCAAGATTTGACCCTTTTAAGACATGCAAAAGCATAATCTTTGCAACTTTATGGCATAATAGGATCTAATAAGCTTAGATCTAAAATTGGACGTTAGGTCTTAACTGATTAAGACATTGAAGAGGATTTTGGCTAGCTGTAGTGTATATCGGGCATACCTAGATGTACATTGCATGTATGCTCCTGTAGTCCTGATGATGCAAGGGTCGTAACTACGACATGCATACTAGTGGTATGCCGAGCGTAATCACCAGAGAGGATTTGGGCTTTTTAAGCCTCAGGCCATTTTAGACTTAAGGACTTGGGCCTTTATTGGGCCGCAATATTTTAGGTAATGCACTTTCTTGATCTTAGGCTTATTTTGGATATGGACTATCTTCTGGGTTTAAGGATAATGGTATTTAGGCCTTGGTTGATTAAGCCCGTTAAGGCAAGGGTTAAGCAGCATTATCATGGTTTGGACTCTCGGGTTGGATTATTGATCAAATTTCTAATTAGGGTTTTATACTTGTGATTCAACAAGAGGATTTTACGAGTCAACAACTCGAGTGTGATTTAATACTATCAGTCGAAGGCATCATTTCTAACCCACTAGATTATGTTTGTAGTATGAGGATTGTCTTCGTGACAATTACCTGTTGTGCCTGTATCTGCTTGATGTCTTTGTGACTCTTATTGTCATGATGATATGTGTAGTGGTAAGGGTGAAATAGACCCGATACCGGTTGAAAGATACCGAAGGGGTGAAATAGACCCAGTACCAGTTGAAAGATACCGAAGGGGATGAAATAGACCTAATACTAGTTGAAAGATATTGAAGGGGTGATATAGATCCAATATGTTTTGATTGTTATATATATGTATGGTATGTGGTATTTTGGGGGAACTCAGGAAGCTTTGTGCTTATGGTTTTTAGTTTAGGTTTCAGGTACTTCTAGGTCGAAAGGGAAGTGCCCGACCTAATCGAACTGTATCCACCTATGTTTTTCTGTATCACATGATTTTCGGATTTTGTACTATGATAATATATTGCTATGATATACTCTTGACTGTTTTGATATGATTATCGTATAATTAGAATGACTTTAAGATGAAAATTTTATCTAAATTTTTGGGATGTTACATAATTATTAATTGGAAAGGAAATAACAACTTACATGATGTTTGTGTGTTGATTGATTTTGTTCTTGCTGCAATATCTTGGTCAGATAGATACTCAAGTACAAGTACAAGTAGTAGTTTTCTAAATCTTCCAAGGTTGGTACCTGGTGGTAGGTTCACTCTTTCTTTACTAATTGGATGTTCATGATATGTTATTATTTCATAACTAATCCATAACTTCATGCCTACCTGAACATCAATATGATGAATAAAAACATATTCATGTTAAAGATCCTTAAACCAACATTATTATGATTATAATACTTGCTGTCTAACTTGATGTATTTATCAATTTTTATTCAAAGCATTTGGAAACATATCAAGTTTAAAGTTGAAAAGTAGCCAATTTGATCGCAAAATAAAATTATAGTTCTCTTTATTGGAAGGGAGCCATGGAGGAGATAGATTTAATAATAAATAACGGTTTAACAATTACAAATGGATAATCAAAACTATGCATTTAACAGATGCATAGTTTTTATAAATTAAATTTTCATTTCAATTATCTATAAAACCCATAGAAATTAATAATTGAAGAAGAAAGTGTAGAACATGAATTAATAAAAAGAGATAGTTCATGAGAGATGAAAAGAACGAGTTTGGAATGCATGAAATTGAGGGGGCTCACAACTTCGATCCGAGGGGACACCTTCTTCTTTGTCTTCTTCATCGATTGGGACCAATTATCTTTAATGGGTGCATCAAAATGTTGGAGGCCACATGAAGAATCATAAGCCACCCAAACAATAAACACAATAGCGGTAGCGATAGACAACACAGCTAGCAGTAGCAACAACCATCGCTTCCTCTGGAAACATAATGTTGAGAATCTCGTTGACGGTTTTGCCATAGCTACAATTTACCAAATTATCGCTATTGTAGCTTATCCAAGTGTCCGCATTGATCTAGGGTTCACATCTCATCTGTATATAAATAGAATGCTACAGAGGTTATAAAATGGTGATAGGCGATAGGAGTTGATTTGTGTGAGCTCCAATGGTTCTTCAAAAATGTTTGTTATAAAAAACCATGCATTTGATAGATGCATAGTTTGTTGGTTCACTTTCTATAAAGGAGTTCGCTCTTGAACTTTATATTATATATATATATATATATATATATATATATATATATATATATATATATATATATATATATATATATATATATATATAAGAGTTATCATCTTGATGATTTCAAAATTCATTATGATTGGTATTCTTGTTGTTTAATTTATTTATTTGTTATTATTATACAGTTAAGGACCCCATCGCAACCATCATAGATGATTAGCCCTCCCCTCACCTCCTGACCATATTCTCCGGCTCCTTCTGTTAACAATTCTATCCATTATTTGCCCTTTAATTAATTAATTTAATAATTATTATTTTCAGTTAAGGATCCCACACCCACCCCAACAACCATACATTGACCCTTCCTCATCCTCCGCACCACACACATACAAACAACTAAAGTCATGTTTGGCCATCTCAAATTATCTTTTTGGGTTATAAAGTTTCAATGTTTCCATACATCAAGAAACTTCTGAAGTACTAAAATCATCACATTTCATATCCATAGGGATGATGACACACATACATACTGTAAGGATAAAACATTGATGCTAAGTAAAGAGAAGGAACAAAGTGTTTCTAGTCCAACGCTATCAGGTGTTGTTCTCTCTTCTTGAATTTGAGGGACGGGACATATGTAGATTTAATGAGCATTTACTCAGGAATATGACGTGGACGTTTGGATCTTGATATTTTTGGGTGATTTTATTTCAAAAGTTTGGATATTGTTCTCAAATAAAATTCAGAAATCGGAGATTTTGTTTAAAATGGGCTAAATCGATTTTGATGACATTGTTCCTCATTTAATCTTTGCGATGGTTTCAAGTAGGGATGAGAATTTGGCCCTAAAACTCGAACCAAACCAAACCAAACCAAATTAGACCCAAATAAACCATTCGATTCAGTTTTCGAGTATACATATTATGTTTATTTGGTTATCGGGTTATTTGGTTCTAAATAGCCGACCCAATTAAGCATTTATTGTCCCCTTTCCTTATCTATAGAAATCAGAATCACGATTCACACTTCTGTCTTCGTCGTTTATCACACTTACACTCGTTGTTGTCGTTTCAAAATTAACCAATTTTCTTAACTATTTGCAAATTCGAAATCACTTCTGTCGATCATTCTTTTGTTTTCAGACTTTTTAAAAATCGACCATTTCAATTGTCTGTAAGGATTCACAAATTCTACTTTATCTAGTCATGAAAAATTAGACGCCAACTCAAGAAACTCAAGTAAGAAATTAATTTTCATTATGTTAATCTATTATGTAAATGTTATTATTTCAATATATTATTGTGTTATGTTAGTCTTTGAATGTTATATGTTGGTCTATAAAACTGCATTATTAATCTATTATTCGGGTTAGAGAATCTTAATACGGTTTATTTGATTTTTTCGGTTATATTAGGTCTTTAATCATCATATACATGTAATTCCGGTAATGACCGAACTGAACCGAACCGATTAATACTTGAACTGAACCAAACCCGTATTGGTTAATCATTTCGGTTTCCGGATCATGCAATTACCGTTATTTGGTTTTCACGTTATTCGGTTTCGGGTCGGTTCGGTCCGTTTGCGACCCGAATAGCATCCCTAGTTTGAAGGTTCGGTGGTGGCAAAAGAAGAATGATAAGAGAGGGAGAGAGATGGAGTTACCTGTACTTGGTGGTGGTCTCTTTCTATTTTTGGAAACTGGCTGCGAAATTAGTCAATGGAGCATGCTATTTTTTTTTCTATTTGCAGAAAAAAAAACTTAATATGCATTACTTGTTTTGTCGTTCGCATTTTCTATAATCAATAACCATTATAATATGTTAATAAAGTTAAAAGTCGATGATGACATTTGTGACAAATGAATGTGATAGAATTATGAATGGGTGTTAATTAATTTAAGAACCATATGGATTTATATAAAAGTTATACTTTTTATATAATCAATTTTTGCATCCGCCAGCTAGACACACCAAGTTTACAAATGTCCTCGTAGGCATCAAGAGTACTATAAAAGAAAGCCATTCCTATCAACCAATTCACAAATACAACCACAATGGCATTTTCTCAAACACTTACCACTCTCTTCATCTTTTCTCTTTTAAGCTTCTCTTACGCCGCTTCAGGTCCTCCCAAACTGCCAAAACCAAAAGTAATGCACTTTTCGATTAGAAAAAACGAAACAACTCTCCAGTACTACGTCTCATATGATTCTGGATACCCTGATTCACCTACCATAATCGATGCATTGATTGATCTTGGAGCACCATCTGTTTGGTTTGACTGTACAAGCTATATCTCGTCTTCATATAAGCGAGCATCATGTGGTTCAAACAGATGTAAGAAGGCGAAGGGGCTATCATGTATAGGATGCAACTCGACTCCTAAACCAGGATGCTCCAACAACACCTGTGGAGTCTTCGTATACAACCCTGCTCGAGATTACTCATCGGTTCAAGAACTTGGTGAAGATACAATGAGGGTATATGCCATAGAAGGTGCGTATGTTTGGTTTGATTACGAGGTACCCAAATTCCAATTCGCTTGTGCAGATTCTGTAACCGCAGAGCGCTTACCTGGTGACCATACTAAAGGATTGGTTGGCTTCGCAAGAACCGAAATCTCATTGCCATCACAAATTTCATCTGCTTTCAAGTTAGCTAAAAAGTTTGCTCTCTGTTTACCTTCATCAAATGCTCTTGGATTAGGAGATATATTCATTGGTGGAGGTCCATATTACATGCTTCCTAGTATCGAAGATCAATCTCTGTCACTAGTATCCACCCCGCTTGTTGTCAATCCAACTGGCACTCCCCGTTTTCAATCTGACGGACAACTTTCCAACCAGTATTTCATCAATCTCAAAAGCATTGAAATCAGCGGTAAACATGTCGCTTTTAGTCCAGCTCTGCTATCTTTTGATAAAAATGGTGTTGGGGGAACAAAGATTAGTACTACAGTACCTTATACGATTTTGCACTCTTCCATTTATAAAAGCCTTGTTAAAGATTTCATCAAGGAAGCATCATTGAATAAAATCAAAAGGGTACAATCTGTCGCACCTTTTGGGGCGTGCTTTGACTCAAAGACTGTTGCCAATACGATAACTGGACCAGCAGTTCCAAATATCGACCTGGTTTTGGAAGGGAGTACTGTACGGATGAGATTGTATGGTGCAAACTCAATGGTGGAAGCGAAGAAGAATGTAATATGTCTTGCATTTATTGATGGAGGAGTTCAGCCAACAACGTCTATTGTGTTAGGTGGGCATCAGTTAGAGAATTATATTCTAGAGTTCGATCTAACTGCATCAAAGCTGGGACTTTCGTCGTCTCTACTGCTCCAGAACACGAGCTGTTCTCAAAGCCGGGTATATTAATTAATTCCCTGTGTAACTTGAGATTTGTTTTTGTTTTGTTCCCCATTTCTGTTTCCCTTGTAATGTTTTGAAGCTAAAGATCGGCCTGGTCTTAATTTCAGTTCGATATTGTATGATCTGCTTTCTTTTATATTCCAAGAATCACGTTTTGGTGGAAGATGTTGTCTATTCATTTATGGAAGAACATGGGAAATGTAGCAAAAAGTGAAAGGAGAATCTTTCGCATAAAGAAAACCGGATCATATTTTTCCATATCCACTTTGACAAAAAAAATTTAATAAAAAATTGAATTATACATTTCCATTTCCACTTGACAGATAAAAAAAATATATAAAATATCGTTTTAGATACGCCTGACAATCGTATCATGTTCAGATTGTCGTGTCACGGGTTGACGGGTTTGTAGGTCAAAATATGTTTGTAACATCCTGTTTATTTATTAAATAAATAAATTTATGAAGATATAGTAGCCCTAAAATCAATAATTTTGTAGTAGGGTGTTGGTTACGATGAGCTATTTGTCATAATTTGGAAGTTGAGGGTTAAAAGTGTAAGCTCTGGACACCGTTTATAATTATTTATGAAGGCAGGGACTCCGTGGTAATTATTTGGAATTAATTTAAAACAAAATGATGTGGAAAGGCTGAATATGTCATAACTAAGATATTGGGTGCTGTCTGGTAAATTTTGTACCTAAGATGTAAAGGATTTAATGAAGAAGATTTCCAAAGTTAGGGTAGAAAGGGTAAAATTAGGATTACATTTGATAAGATCTTATGGGGAGGGACTAGAATGGTTTAAAGGGCAAAGTTAAATATAAACACGGGACAACTCCCGTCACCCTTGCTTAAGCCGAGTATATATACATCATAAACTCCCGTTTCAAACCCTAAACCTAAAATTTGTAGACAACCATCCTCGTTCTTCGTCTCTGGCGCCATTACCACCTAACTCCTCCCCCTCTTTCTCCGATATGGTGAGGTTTTGGACGACAGCCGACATCCATGCTGCTGTCCGGAGTTGTTGCTACTTCAGTCGCCGTCTGGGGCTCGTACGACGCCTCCTTCTTCTGTCGTCGTAGCTCCAAGCGATTCGACGCTCCGGTTACTCTCCAGCCGCCGGATGCCACCATATGGGGTGGTTGGGTTCACTTCTAGCAAGCCATGTGTGCTGTTTCCACCTTTCCGTGTCAACCACCGCCGCCCCAAGAGACTGAAGGGTTGTCGCCGCTGTTCCTAATTGTTGAAGGTGAAGCCGCCGCCTATGCTGGCGACCAGTTTGGTGTTGATTCACTCGTGCTCCTGCCACCACCATGAACCTCTAGGTGGGTCGTGGTGTATCTGTTTCGAGTCCTTGTGTGTCTATTGTTTATTGCTGCAATGGAGTGGGTGTCGTGTGGGGTTGTTGATTGCCGGAAAATGGAAGAGATACCCACCATGGTCGCCAACCAAGGTGGTTGCCACCATCTGCCGTACCCGGCTACCATAAGGTGGTGGTGTGTGATATTTGTTTAGTATGTGTGTGTGTTTATTTTGAGTATTATCATTGTAATGTGTAATTTACAATTGGAATAATGAAAGGAAAAATCAAAACACCACCGACCACCGGGTCGGGTGGCGTTGTGCTTGTCTTGTTGAGGCGATTCGTTTAGGGTGCTTGAAACCCTAATGGGCCCAAAGAATCTTATATGGGCCCAATGAAGCTTAATGGACTCTATTGGACCCAATAAAACCCTAATGGGCTTGATGACATTCTAGTGGGCTTGATAGGCCCAATAAAGCCCTAAATGGCCCAGAAGCCCAACAAGTTAATAAATGGGCTAGTCTTTGGGTTGGAAACCCTAATTAGGGTTTGGAAAACCCTAATGCAATGAAACCCTAATTTGGGGGAACTAATCGAAACATTCGGGATTTTTTTTAATAATTTGTAATATTATATAATAATCATTCGCAAAAATTAATATAAGCAATATCAGACTTAATGGATTAAGTCCCTAATGGGTTAAGTGAGAAACACTTAACCCTAATCATCTTTTTACGTGAAACCCTAATTTCACTTGGGTTTATTGTTGAGCCTTGATGATTAGATTATTGGACCATCGAAAGTCAAGCAATTGGACTAGAATAATTAATGGGCTTTGAGGAGTTAGGCCCAATTTGGAAAATTGGGCCATAGATGGTCCATAGTTTAGGCCTTAATGATTATATGTGATGTTAGAATAAAGTCACGTAAGGGGTTTGGGCCCAATTTGGAAAATTGGGCCGTATGTTGGACTTTGAGTCCTATTCGAATTTGGGCCTATGAATTGGGCCTTGGGCTTGAATAAGCGAAGCTGGGGGTAATATAGTAAGTACCCAAAGTATGTATTTGGTTATGTAGTGGAACCTAATCGCTAATTGGGTGATGTTTTGATATTAACATATTGGGAATCTGTCATCCAGCAGCTGGGGTTTAATCTGCGGGACTTCTGCTATGTGGGGTTGAGTCTTCAGGACTTCAGCAGTCTGAGGTGAGTTACCTTCCAGTAGAGGTGGGTCTAAGGCCACAATGCCGACCCACCAAAAAGGGGTATTTAGAAGATAATGGTCTTTGTGATAATTATCTTGGTCTGGTTAGGTGTTGGTTATGAGGTTTATCTGAGTAGTATGTTATGTGTATGGTAGGGATTAGTTTCCTTGACAGCGGTCCTTAGGACCCAAGGGTAAGTCAGTACCCGGATATGCCTGACTGTATGCTTATATTTGTTGATTGCATGCTAGTAGTAGGGGTAAAATAGTCCCCGATTACCGGTTGAAAGATACCGATGATGATTATCGGTTGAAAGATACCGATGAAGGTTACTGGTTGAAAGATACCGATGAAGGTTACCAGTTGAAAGATACCGACGATATTGTATGGTATGTGGTATGATGGGGGAACTCACTAAGCTTCGTGCTTATAGTTTTGGTTTTGGTTTCAGGTACCTCTTCGTCGAAGGGGAAAGAGTCGGCGGTGTAGCAGCGCATCACACACACACACATGTTTCCGCAAGAAGTTTTTGGGACTGTACTATGATTTTCAATACTTATGATGTTATGGTTTGAAATACAATATTATGATTTTGTAATGAATGTTTTATTGACAATGTTTTGGTAAAATGTTTGCTAAATGCGTTAATTCAAAAATGAAATTTTTGGCCTTGAAAATTGGGTCGTTACAATTTGGTATCAGAGCCTTGGTTTGAGGGATTTGGTCACACTCTTGGGTGTATCTGAACTCAAACTAAGGACTTGGTATGAAAATTTTCCAAAGTAAGATTATTTTATAAAAGAAGTTTGAAAAGAATTTGAAAAGAGAATAAAACTTCGAAAAGAACAAGTGTGTGATGCGTGCAATCAGCCGAGCTTGAGTAAGTTTTTTCCTAAGATACCCATACATGTTATGATATGTTAGGATATGATATGATTATGAGAACTGCATGCTAGACTATGGCTAAGGATCTAGGAATATGCCTTATGTGCCTGTTGTATGTGCTTACTGAATTACATGATAGTACTGATCAGTCAGTGATAGGATAACCTGTTTAGGTTATGCCTGATTGAATGAGCCTTAGAATTGCATGCTAGTATAGATCCCTGACAAGAGGATAGATTGATCTGATTGGAATATGTTGGTTAGATTTCTCCATTGTCTGAATGCTGCTTTCTTTGTGCTTTATGGAACTCTTAAGTGATGGGAGTCAGCTACTAAGTGGATGTGACGACATCCAGGAGGTAGATGACTAGCATCATGGGGAGTTCTTCAGTAGCTGATGGCAGTGCGAGATCAAGAACCTAGGGAAGCCTAGGATATGATTCAATGGGTTAGTAGCGAGGCTTAGTGAGACTTGGGTGTACCAATTAAGGGAGTAACTTGGAGGATCCGAGAGGATTGCTGAGGAAAGTATGGATAGGTGTGGAAGGTAGTATGGGACTTGTACTACTAAAAGCACAGGATCCATACTCGAATCAGTGAGAGTCTTGGAGAATCTGAGAAGCTTCGGGGAAGAGTTTGTGACCCGGTTGGGAACAGAGGATGTTCTAGTTGTTGCTGCTTAGCCATTGGCAAGTGAGCTAGTGAGCGTGGCAGGGTGTCAGACCCTGAAGGATATGATTTCCAAGATTTTGTAGATGCGAGATTGGTGTGGAGCACCCTGGGAAGAAAGGTCGTATCAAGTGCGTATAGTGAAAGGTCCCAGGAAGAAACCCATGATTTGACCATCAGGTGAAAGGCCAGCAGGGCCGTAGTCAGTACAACACGTTCGAGAGAGTGCACGAGGGAGTTTGTCGCTCCAAGGGTTTAGGCTGCTACAGGTGTGGCAGGGTTGGTCATGTCAGCAAAAGGTGGTAAGAATTCCTCTGTATAATCGAATCCTTGGAATCTCAGTTTAGTATGGTGTTAGACACCCAAGAGTAAGATTCAGATTCTGGTGCCGACTCGAGAGCAAAGCCTGGGCCAGTCAGTACGTGATCGCAAGAGCTCATCTCATCGGAGATTATTTGCAGAGTTATGGGGATGGACCACGGTGGTATTCCGTTCGGCCAAGGGAGGAATTTGGGAGCTTTTGGTATTCGTCTCGGGCCTTTGGGCCGGATTTGTCGTAAGGAAGTTAGGGGTTCATTTGGCACTCAAGGTCTGTAGATTCTTAGGATCCTTCAGGAAGAAAGCTCCTGTAGTTAGTTCCTTTCATCAGGATTATGATTTTGGCAGATGTTGGAGGGTATGTCATCTTTTTGCTACTTCTGAGTGGATATTAGGAATTTGTATTGCTTCAGCATTATGGGTGAGTGTGGATAAGTCAGATATCAGATCAGTTTTCTGCTAGTGTTTGGGTTATGAAGGATCATATATGCCATTATGCATGCCAAAGAGTCCATGATGAACCCACGGAGGAATGTGCCTTGCGAAGTGGGTCCTGTGTGTACCGTTATCTTTCTAGATCTTTGTCGAGATCCATGCAGTAATAGTGTTCAGAGGATATCAAGTCAGAGTTAAAGCGATAATTCTACAGGAAGTTGGAGTTCAGTTGTTCTATCATGGTTTAGGTATGGTCAACAATCGTCTATGGATGAACCTTGGAGGCTCAAGGGAAATGAACCTTTGCATGGGTGTCCTTATTTAGGGTTCAGTGATGTTTCAAGATTGTAAGTGGGGATGAGAATTCGTCAACCAGGGTGGAAGTTAAGGCCTCCACTAGTCAGCATGAGAAGTGGATCGAGGTGTCAGACTGGACCAAAATTCTGTTGTACTCTTCAGGATATCCGAGGGTGGGCAACCTTGAGTTTTGGTTGGTAATTGATTACAACATTAGTATGCTCAGATTGTTGACAGTGGACTATTAAAAAGTAAGAAGGATTGGGAACCCTTCAACTCTCACGTGCTGTGAAGACTTAGCCGAAGCTAAGTGGGGGAGAATCGATCCGGTATCTGTGGTAGAAGAAGGTGTGAAACTAGGATGAGTTTCGCATCCCCGTTGGGGAAGAGGCGGACAAGTGGCCGTCTCGGTCGAGGATTGGGTGAATTGGGAGTTCAGAAAACGTTCCAACATTTGATTCACGCTTGTCTTGGCAATAGATAGCAGGTTTTGGGAACCAGGTTAGAGTTCCAGTTGGGCTCAAGTTTAGTTGAGTGTTAGGTCGGGTGCGTGTTCGACCTGGTTTGGAAAATTTTGTAATACTACGGGGGTAGCCGTAACATTCACTATTGGTCAGATAGCATGGAAACGGTTGTAAGACTATGGGGGTAGCCGTAGCATTCACTAGAGACCAGGTAGTGTTGGAAGTGTTGTAAGACTACAGGGGTAGCCGTAGCATTCACTAGAGATCTGGTAGGTGGCATGAGCGTGTTATTGGAACGCGGAGAGGAACGATGGTACCCACCAGTTCGGGTGTAGCAATAAGGATATAGAAATCCACAGATTGGAATTCAGAATTTCCTAAACGGATTAAATCTGGTTGAGTCAGTGATACGACTATAGGAGTGCCACTACAACTATGGGATCATGGAAGCAACGGACTGTATAAGATTGCTTGTGATATAAGGCTACCATCTGTTAGGTAGAAATCACTTTTAGCCTGTATTTGGTGACTTCAGGGTTTGACATATGGACCTGATCAGTTGGATTAGGAGACTGTTAGAGTCGCAATGGTATGACAACTAGTGACAACTAGTTCCAGAGAAGGATTTCGTTCAGAAGTTGTGTAAGACGACTAGGTGGGAGTCCTATTGACTCCGCAGCCGGGCTGGAACCTGATGTTTCAAACGATTAATGGATGAATTGAGACCAGGAAGGTCTCGG